GGAACTCTGGAGTTAACTCATTCAGGGTTTAATATGCAAGTACTTTTCATAGCAAGATCCAGTTTTGTAATTCCTTGCTTATTCGCATGGTTCATCTACACCACGTAGCAAATCTTCCCTGGGGCAGCCACATATCTATCACATTTAGGCAGAATCCAGGGCTGTTGTGTAGACCACCCCCTGTTGCGTCAGCTCCACTGGCTGCCAGTCTGCTACTGAGCACAATGCAAAGTGCTGGCTTTAGCCTATAAATCCCTAAATGGTTCCTGTCCTGTCTACCTGTCCAAACGTATCTCCCCCTATGAACCATCTCAGAGAGTAAGATTATCTGGGGAGGCCTTGCTCTCGGTCCAACCTTCTTTGCAAGCATGGCTGGTGGGGACGAGAGGCAGGGCCTTCTCAGTGGTGGCCCCTCGCTTGTGGAACTCCCTCCCTAGTGATATTAGAGCAGCCCCCTCCCTCCTCATGTTCAGAAGGAGAGTAAAAACCGGGCCCTGGAAGCAGGCTTTTGAGAATAGGGCAGTGCAGTAATTTTAATGTGGAAAATGTGCAATTTGACTACATAATGGCCTTAGACTCCAACTCTGAATGGCGTGATTACATTGGAATATATTTTAATTATGTCTATTATGTATTAATTTTAATTCTGGCTATTTTAAGTTAACATTCTAACACTGCAGAGGTGTGATATATAAGCCGCTTTGAGTCCCCTTCAGGGTAGAAAAAGGTGGAATATAAATAAGGTAAATAAATAGGGTTGTTGTAGGTTTTTTGGGCTGCATGGCCATGTTCTAAAATGTCTCCTAACATTTCACCTGCATCAATTCGAACCTGTGACTTGTCGGTCTTCAGTCCTGCCGGCACAGTGCTTTAACCCACTGCGCCACCGGGGGCTCCATTTCGAATCCGGGGAGAGGCGGATGAGCTCCCTTCTATTAGTTCCAGCTCCTCATGCGGGGACATGAGAGAAGCCTCCCACAAGGATGATAAAACATCAAAAATCATCCAGGCGTCCCCTGGGCAACGTCCTTGCAGACGGCCAATTCTCTCACAACAGGAGCGGTTGCTCTTGACACGACAAAAAAAAAACCTGCATCAATTGCAGGCATCCTCAGAGGTTGTGAGGTCTGAGGATGCCTGCCATAGATGCAGGGGAAATGTCAGGAGAGAATGCTTCTAGAATATGGCCATGCAGCCCAGTGATTCTGAGCATGAAAGCCTTTGACAATACGGTATATAAATAATAAATAAACTTGGGACCACATCCACTTCACTGAACCACCAGTTCATCTGTGTCACTGCTAGTGTTTCTAGAGGACCATGGAGCTCCAACCAAGCTTCTGTCCTTTGAGATACCTCTGCTGATATCAGAATGGCGCTGAAGTCAGCACCGAGCTCCACTGCAACCAGCAAAGAGGAGGGTAAAATCAAAAGTGGGACAAAGGCAGTTAACACTAAAAACCCCAGGAGACCCACTGGAAGCTGCTGTGCATGGTCATGGAGACAACCAGTGATCCATTTGATAGGAGTATAGTGCTTGGCTTCAAGTAAACAAACCCTCTGATAAGGCATGCTGACAGTGTCACCAGGTTTTCAACATAGCAATAAATGACATGCTTGGTTAACAATTGAGAAGTTGCTACTAAAACAGATAGGTTCATCATAGGGTTGTCTTAAGTCAGGAATGATTTGATAGTATACAACAAAAACAACAAGAAATTAACATGTTTGTGTTCTACATAAATGTTGTTCTGCTCAAGTCATTTCCAGTCCTAAGGTGAACTTATCAGGGAGATTTCTTGGCAAGATTTTGCCTTTGCCTTCATATGACACTGAGATAGTGTGATATGCCAAAGGTCACCCATATTAATAAGACCAAAGAGCTCATGGTAGACTACAGAAAAATAGATCAGAAATTCAGCCCTTGGTCATAAATGGACACCAAGTAGAGTGGGTGACCAGTGATAAGTTCCTGGGTTAAAGGAACAGTTCAAAGTGAACAGTTCAGAGAAAGGCAAAACTGAATCACCTTAAATCAGAATTTTCCCAGGGGACAAATGAATACCAGAGGATTGGCCTTGACTCTGTTCCACCAAGAAGATCCTCTGATGAGATTAATCTCATTTCCTTGACTAATTCTAGTTTGTTTGATATCAGCACCTTGCATAGATAGCATCTCCAGACTTCTTCAAATAGTCATTTCATTGCACAGATATTACTGGCTACCAAACATCTTTCTCTCTGCTAATGCACCCGCTAGGAAAATCATGTTTTTCCAGCATAGATAGTGCTTGGGAATTAGAAAGATAGCCAAGATTTCAAGAGTATTGCTGCAAACATTTATTGACTTGTGTGATCACCAATTATGATGATACATTGTTCCATCAATTCAGAATCTTTAAAATGGTGATTTAAACCTAACTTATTTTAGTTTGTGTATAGGTTTTTAGAGGATGAGTGCTCCCTAGTGTATCACCACAGCTGTAGCACCCAAAAAAAGCCTTTAAAATTCAATACCTGTTCTCTTCCTCCTACCTTTTGTTTTTGTTTAAATGTGTTTTTTTCAGCAACTGAACATTTCAATATCAATCATTAAGTCTACTGAGCAAAATTCAAAATACCTGGATGGCTGAAGTTTGCCCATGCCTGCTTTAGATTGAAGTTACAACCTCAATCTAAAGCAGGCCTGGGCAAACTTTGGCCCTCCAGGTGTTTTGAATTTCAACTCCCACCAGCTGTTAGGAATTGTGGGAGTTGAAGTCCAAAACCCCTGGAGGGCCAAAATTTGCCCAGGCCTGATCTAAAGGGAAGGGGACAAGAAAGCAAAAGGGCTACAGCAGGGACTGGTAAGCAAGAGATCTGGGTTCAATGTACATCTCTGTTGACCAGACCAGATCTTGTTTGTGTTGCTTCTGCTGTTGTTCTGTAAAATGTTAAAAACTAAATAAATCAGTAGCTAGGTGCTCCTCGAGGGTCATTGTGAGGGCAGCTTCAAAAATGGTTTTCACATGGCCATTCTAACCTAGAAGGGGTGAGTCTATTAGATTATGGAAACTTTTCAGTCTTTTGCCAAAAGTGCTCTGAGGAAAAGAGCTGTGGCTGGATAATAGCCTCTTTCAGCAAATCTAGATACAGGTTGGGTACTCCTGATTGAAAATTGGGAAAATCCTGCAAATCTCTTGAGAAGACAGGTGGACAAATAAATGTCAGTGTGCTGGAAAAAGGAAAGACCACTAGCATTAGAGCGATGCTCCTACACCATCAACTCTGTTGGACTGGCCTCATTGTCCGAATGCTCGATCACCATCTCCCAAAGCAGTTACTATACTTCCAACTCAAGCATGGAAAACGAAATGTTGGTGGACAGGAAAAGAGATTTAAAGATGGCCTTAGAGCTAGTCTTAAAAACTGTGGTATAGACACAAAGAACTGGGAAGCCCTGGCTCTTGAGTGCTCTAACTGGAGATCAGCTGTGACCAGCAGTGCTGTGGAATTTGAAGAGGCATGAATGGAAGGCAAAAGGGAGAAACATGCCAAGAGGAAGGTGCATGAAGACAACCTTGACTGGGACCGCCTTCCACCTGGAAACTGATGTCCTCACTGTGGAAGATCATGTAGGTCAAGAATAGGGCTCCACAGTCACATACATATACATCACCAATACACTGCAATACACTGGACTACAAGGGATCGCCTAAGTAAGTAAGTAATTAAGTAGAAGGGTGTTTGGAATACTGGGATTTGAATATGTATCCATAATGAGATAGCTTGGTGATGGCATATAGGTCTAAATAAAAAATTAATTTCTGTTTCATATATAGAATCATAGAGTTGGAAGAGACCTCGTGAGAGATCCAATCCAACCCCATTCTGCCAAGAAGCAGGAAAATCACATTCAGAGCACCCCGGATAGATGGCCATCCAGCCTCTACTTAAAAGCCTCCAAAGAAGGAGTGTCCACCACACTCCGGAGCAGATGCACTGCTGAACAGCTCTCACAGTTAGAAAGTTCTTCCTCATGTTCAGGTGGAATCTCCTTTCCTGTAGTTTGAAGCCAGGAATTGCAAGCAGGTCTCAGAGCAAAGCAAATCCAACTTCTCCCAACCATTTCTAATTGGATCAGGTACGCTGGAACTGTTTTTCAAATGGGTGATTTTGGGCTTAGACTCCTGTGGGTTTCAGAATTCTGGAGAGGGGAAACTCTACCTACAGCACTAAGGCAGAAACCAGAAAGCTTTCCCACTGCCAGGAAGAGACATCCAATGACATGGAAGGCACTGAAGTATCATTTCCATAAGCCCAATAGACACTATACTGAAGCCTCTCAATACAGTTGAAGGTCAAAGGCAGGTATGGGCAAACTTGGGTCCTGTGGATGTTTTGGACTTCCACCCCTGCCATTAGTAACAGCCTCAGGCCCTTTCCTTTTCTCCCTCAGCCGCCTAAGCCATTCCCAACAGCCTCAGGTCGTTCCCAACAGCCTCAGGCCATTTCCAAGAGCCTCGGGCCATTCCCAACAGCCTCAGGGCCTTTCCTTTCCCCCCTCAGCCGCTGAAGCTATTCCTAACAGTCTTAACTCATTCCTAACAGTCTCAAGCCATTCCCAAGAGCCTCAGGCCCTTTCCCTTCCCCCCTCAGCCACTTAAGCTATTCCTAACAGCCTCAAGCCGTTCCTAACAGTCTCAAGCCATTCCCAAGAGCCTCAGGCCATTCCTAAATGCATTAAGCCATTCCTAACAGTCTGGGGCCATTCCTAACAGCATTAAGCCATTCCTAACAGTCTCGGGCTATTCCTAACAGCCTCGGGTCATTCCTAACAGCATTAAGCCATTCCTAACAGCCTCGGGCCCTTTCCTTTCCCACCTCAGCCGCTTAAGGAAGGGGCCTAAGGCTGTTAGGAATAGCGGGAGTGGAAGTCGAAATCATCCAGAGGACCCAAGTTTGCGGCAGCGTTGCTGGAAGGCCACAAGCGCCCGCTCTGCGCGGCTTCCCGGACTGACCTCTCTCCCCGCTGCCCTGGATGGCGCGCACCACGTCGTCGGCGAACTTCCCGGCCTCGTCGAAGGCGAAGTCGTCGAGGTGTATGCCGGCTTCGCGGAAGACCCCGTGGACGCCCTCGGCGGCGAAGAAGCAGGTGCGCTGGTCGCGGTCCTCGCGGTAGACGAGCAGGACGCGGGCCCATCGGCGGTGCCGGAAGAGCGCCAGGAGCATGTGTCCCAGCTGCGCGTAGCCCGGCGCCAGGCGCGTCAGGTGCGAGTACTCGCCGCCCTTGCCCTTGCTCCCGCCGGCCCCGAAGCCCGCGGCCAGGGCTCCGGCGGAGAGCATGGGCAGCCCCCAGTGCGAGGCCAGGCGGGCCACCGGGGCGGCCGCGTAGTCGCAGGCCGGGCCCAGGAGCAAGTCGGGCCAGCGCCGCCGCCGCGCCACCAGGTCCACCAGGGCGAAGAGCGCGCCGTTCCCGCAGCCGGAGTCCTCGAAGAGCAGCTCCAAGTGGAAGCCCGCCGGGAGGAGCGTCCCGTTGGCTTCCAGGCTCCGCACGGCGTACTCCACGGCCGGGCGCACCCGCGGCAAAGAGAAGGGGAAGGAGGGCTCCTGGGGGAGAAGCACCAGCACCAGCAGCCTCCGCGACTCCTCCTCCTCCTCGTCTTCCTCCGGAGCCGCCGAGTGAGAGAGCAGCAGCAGCACCAGGAAAGCAAAGGCTCCGGCGGGGCAGCGCATGGCCGCGGCAAGAAGGGCACGGAGAGGAGGAGAAGGTCCTTCCCGCAACGCCGCTACCAGGCTTTGTGGCTGTGGGTCTGGCCCCGGCGGCGGAGGGGCCTCGGGGGCGCCACCACCACCATCCTCCTCCGCCCCCTCCTCATCATCTCCTCCTCCTGAGTCTCCCTCCGCCTCCTGTGGCTCCCGGGCTCATCGCCCCGGTTTAAATAGGGCGCGCCGGGTCCCTCCGCAACACATGGCGCGCCGCGGAGAAAGGGGGAGGGGTCTAGGGAACGCCCCCTCGCCTGGCCACGCCCCCGCCCTCCCGTCTCCTCCCTCCCTCCCATGCAACTCGGGACCCGCGCTGAAACTCCTCGCGGAGGACGGGGCGGGGTCTCCGGGACACCCTCCTCGCCCTCCCCCCACCCCGCTCTGTCTTTCCATACAACTCGGGACCTGAGTTGAAACTCTCCGCGGAGGATGGGGAGGGGTCTCCGTAATGTCCCCCGCGCTTGGACACGCCCTCATCCTCCCTTCTCTTCTCTACACTGTCCAATGCTGAAACTCCCCGAGGAGAAAGGGGGCGGGTCTCTGGAATGTCCCCCTCCTCGCCTGGCCACGCCCCTCCCTTCCCCTCCCTCCCTCCCTCTGCTCTGTCTTCCCATACAACTCGGGACTCGCGGTAAAATCTCCCTGCGGAACGTCCCCCTGGACTGTCTACGCCCCCATTTTTCCTCCCTTCTCCTCCCTTCACTGACCAACGCTGAAACTCCCCGCAGAGAAAGGGGGCGGAGTCTCCGGAAGATTTCCCTAGCCTGGCCACGCCCCCATCCTGCCTCCCTTCTCCTCCCTTCACTGACCAACGCCGAAACTCCCCTCGGAGAAAGGGGGCGGGGTTTCTGGGACGTCCTCCTGACCTGGCCACGCCCCATTTTCTCTTCTCCGCCCACCCTCCCTCCGTCCCTCCACTCTGTCCTACCTGCTCTGAAACTCCCCGCGGAGGACGGGGCGGGGTCTCGGGAACGCCTCCTTTCGCCTAGGCCACGCCCCCATCCTCCCTCCCTCTGCTCTGTCTTTCCATGCAACTCGGGACCCACGCTGAATCTCCCCGCGGAGGAGGGCCCCCCTCTCCTAGCCACGCCCCCGTCCTTCCTCCTCAATCCCTCCCTCCACTAGGTCTTCCCACGCAACTCAGGACCCCGCGGAGGAGTGGGCGGGGTCTCCGGAAGGTCCCTCTCGCCTGGCCACGCCCCCATCCTCCCTCCCTTCTCCTCCCTCTCTCCTTCCACTCTGCCCTCCCGCGTAATTCGGGACCCGCGCCGAAACTCCCCGCGGAGGATGGGATGGGGTCTCTGGCTCCCCTTCCTTCCCTTCATTTCTCTCCCCTCTGCTCTGCCCTCCTGGGGTGAAACTCTGCCCCCCCCCCCGCCCTCCCGGATCCCCTTCCCCACCTCGCCCCCTTTGCGCCGCCGCCACTTGCCCTGCTCAAGAGGCAGGAGATGCGTCCCAGGAAGACCGCCCCCTCCCTGGCCCCCTCAGGACGGAGAGACTCCGGAGTAAGAGAAAGAAGAGAGTGGGGCAAAGGGAGAAATAAGGTGGGCAGACCCCCCCCCCCTCCCCTTTGCTGGCTTCAGAACAGTTACCAGAGCTCTCAGTAGCTAGAGTCTAGCTGCTAAAACCTTGAATCAATTCCTGAATGGTGAGGCAACACTTAGCAGAAATCCTACTGATGGGATACTCTTCCGTCCCCGTCCCCCCAAGAACGGGCAACTTGGAAGTCCCTGAACAGGCTCAGATGCGGAGTGGGCAGATCAAAAGATAACCTGGCTGAATGGCACAACCTAGAAGAATCCATGCAGTCATGCTGGTCACATGGCCTTGGAGGTGTCTACTGACAATGCCAGCTCTTCAGCTTAGAAATGGAGATGAGCACCAACCCCCAGAGTTGAACATGACTGAACTTAATGTCAGGGGAAAACCATCACCTTCACCAGAAGAATCCCCCACCTTGACAACTCCACACCTGTATGCTTGTCCACAATGTCCTGCCTCATGCACAGAGGAAGAATTGTATTGTGGAAGGCTGAGAGGAGAGATGATAGCCGTGTATGTATAAATATGTGAGAGGAAGCCACAGGGAGGAGGGAGCAAGCTTGTTTTCTGCTTCCTTGGAGACTAGGACGCGGAACAATGGCTTCAAACTACAAGAGAGGAGATTCCATCTGAACATTAGAAATAACTTCCTGCCTGTGAGAGCCGTTCAGCAGTGGAACTCTCTGCCTTGGAGTGTGGTGGAGGCTCCTTCTTTGGAAGCTTTTAAACAGAGGCTGGATGGGCTGAAAAACAGATGTCAGGGGTGATTTGAATGCAATATTCCTGCTTCTTGGCAGAATGGGTTGGACTGGATGGCCCATGAGGTCTCTTCCAACTCTTTGATTCTATGATTCTATGATTCACAGCTGGAATCACTGGGTCGCTATTATGTTTTTCAGCCCCAAAAACTTACAGCAACCCAGGGGAAGAATTGTTTCAACAATAACCAACAAAATCAAACATGTAAACAAACGCCAATGCCTATTTGCCATATACTTTCATAGAACTCTCCGATGTGGTGTAACTAAAGATGGGTTTTGTACCCTTATGTGCATCAATACACAAAGCTTTTGCCACTTAAGTTAGATTGTTGCCTGTAATGAAAGCCCCTTTAGACCACCCAGATGGATAAGTGAATCAACCATTGGGTTGTGGTAATTTTTTCGGGCTGTATGGCCATGTTCCAGAAGTATTCTCTCCTGACGTTTCGCCTGCATTTATGGAAGGCATCCTCAGAGGCTGTAAGGTCCTCCCAACTTCTGAGGATGCCTGCCATAGATGTAGACAAAATGTCAGGAGAGAATGCTCCTGGAACAAGGCCATATTTTGATACTTGAGATCGTATCTCCTTCTACAAACCAGCACAAACCGGTGGTCCCACCACTGTCTCAAGCTGAGATGGGAAGAGAGAGAGGGTCTTCTTGGTGGTGGCTCCCAGCTCTGGAATACCCTCCCGAAGGAAATTAGATTAGCTCCCTCTCTTCAGGCCTTCCAGGTGAGTCTAAAAACATGGCTCTTCAGACAGACCTTTGATCCTGAGCAAGCCACAGCCAATGTGATGAATCATTGATAGTACTGGCTCACACTTTGATTGATTGTTATGACAGATAGCTGGTCGAACACTGTGTTTACATTAGAAATCACTCTAAATTACTGGATTGCTGTGAGCTTTCTGGGCTGTCTAGCCATGTTCCAGAAGCTTTCTCTCCTGACATTTCGCCCACATCTATGGCAAGCATCCTCAGAGATTGTGAGGTCTGTTGGAAACTAGGCAAGTGGAATGTCCAGGGTGGGAGAAAGAACTGTTGTCTGCCCGAGGCAAGCATGAATGTTGCAAGTGGCCAGCTTAGCATTGAATAGCCTTTCAGCTTCAAAGCCTGGCTGCTTCCTGCTGTTTTCTGAGTGTTGTTCTTTATTTGCTCTAAAATCATGACAGTAAATAAAGAACAAACACTCAGAAAACAGGGGAATTCCAGCCAGGAAACAATCAGGGCAAGCTAACATCTTCCGGCGAAGGATTCCCCCAGGTAGGAAGCAGCTAGGTTTTGAAGCTGCCAGGCTATTTAATGCTAATGATGTTTTCCCCAGGCAGGAAGCAGCTAGGTTTTGAAGCTGCCAGGCTATTTAATGCTAATGATGTTTCCCCCAGTCAGGAAGCAGCTAGGTTTTGAATTCCCCCAGGCCGGAAGGAGCTAGGTTTTGAAGCTGCCAGGCTATTTAATGCTAATGACGTTTCTCCCACATCTATGGCAGGCATCCTCAGAGGTTGCCTCAGAGGTCTCACAACCTCTGAGGATACCTGCCATAGATGCAGGTGAAACGTCAGCAGAGAATGCTTCTGGAACATGGCCAGACAGCCCGAACAGTGGAACTCTCTGCCCCAGAGTGTGGTGAAGGCTCCTTCTTTGGAGGCTTTTAAACAGAAGCTGGATGGCCATCTGTCAGGGGTGCTTTGAATACAATTTTCCCGCTTCTTGGCAAGTGGATGGCCCATGAGGTCTCTTCCAACTCTGTGATTCTATGAAAACAAACAACAACCTAGTGATTCCAGCCATGAAAGCTTTCGACAATACATTGAATAAACCATGTTTCCATAGTAAAGTGTTTGTTTCCTTTTCTGAGGGTAAATGGAGGACACAGCGTGATAACCGAACATCTAGTAATCCTTAAGAGAAACCCATTGATATCCATGGAGCCATCAAAGTAGACAGACGACTTGAAGGCACACACCATGCACGCACAGATCAAGTGAATTTGATTTGATTCCAGCTTATTGAGCAAGCAGATCCAGACCATGGAGCAATGTGAAGCGTGGGTGGGAGAGAAATAGGCCTGGCCGGCTCCAAACGTTACAAAGTAAATGTGTTTCCTATGGTTGAAACTATAAAGGGCAAATAACATTTATATTTTGCTGTTTTTATTGTTTATTGTGCATGCTTGGCATTTCAATAGTTATTTTAAGCAAGTGTCTTTAATTGCAAGCAGCACGGAAACGACAATTCTTATGGTTTATTTTTAAATCGTCATTTTCCATTAAAGAAATTATATTTAGCAACAATTCTAAATGATGACTCTCAAAATTTGTCATCTATGCAAATCTGTTGAAAACACTTGGAACTGTATGGTAGAGTTGTGATTGAATTAATTAATTTAGAGTGCGTCATCAAAGGTTTTCATGACCGGATTCACTGGGTTGCTCTGAGTTTTCTGGGCTGCGTGGCCATGTTCCAGAAGCATTCTCTCCTGATGTTTTGCCCGCCTCTATAATAGGAAACCTCAGAGGTTGTGAGGTCTGTTGGAAGCTGGGCAAGTGGGGTTTATATTTATATATCTGTATGTCCAGGTTGGGAGGAAAAACTCTTGTCTGTTGGAGGCAAGTGTGACTGTTGCAATTGGCCACCTTGATTCAAAACCTTCAAAACCTAGCTGCTTCCTGCCTGGGGGAATCCTTCGTTGGGAGATGTTAGCTTGCCCTGATTGTTTCCTGACTGGAATTCCCCTGTTTTCTGAGTTTACTGTCATGATTTTAGAGTAAATAAAAAAACAACACTCAGAAAACAGCAGGAAGCAGCCAGGCTTTGAAGCTGAAAGGCTATTCAGTACTAAGCTGGCCACTTGCAACATTCACACTTGCCTCAGGCAGACAACAGTTCTTTCTCTCACCCTGGACATTCCACAGATATATAAACC